TGACCCCAAAATCAATAGGGGTTTTCTACCCAATATGGACAATCATCCTATGCAGTTTGAACATTGTGGGCTAAATGAAACTTTAGTTATGCTCCGGAAACCAAATTGCTAACAGACAAATTGCTAACTTTCAGTATCGAAGAAATAGTGACCTTGACCTTTGACCTTGTGACCCCAAAGTCAATAGGGGTCTTCTACCCAATATGGACAATCACCCTATGAAGTTTGAACATTAAGGGTCAAATGGAACTTAAGTTATGCTCCGGAAACTGTTTTCAGTTTCAAGGTAATAGTGACCTTGACCTTTGACCCCAAAATCAATAGGGGTCTTCTACCCAATACGGACAATCATCCTATGAAGTTTGAACATTGTGGGCCAAATGGAACTTAAGTTATGCTCCGGAAACCAAATTGCTTACGGACGAAAACTGTTTTCAGTATCAAGGTAATAGTGACCTTGACCTTTGACCTTTTGACTCCAAAATCAATAGGGGTCTTCTACCCAATATGGACAATCACCCTATGAAGTTTGAATATTGTTGGCCAAATGGAACTTAAGTTATGCCCCGGAAACTGTTTTCAGTTTTAAGGTAATAGTGACCTTGACCTTTGACCTTTTGACCCCAAAATCAATAGGGGTTTTCTACCCAATATGGACAATCATCCTATGAAGTTTGAACATTGTGGGCCAAATGGAACTTAAGTTATGCTCCGGAAACCAAATTGCTAATGGACAGAAACTGTTTTCAGTATCAAGGCAATAGTGACCTTGACCTTTGACCTTTTGACCCCAAAATCAAAAAGGGTCTTCTTCCCAATATGGACAACCATCCTATGAAGTTTGAACATTGTGGGCCAAATGGAACTTAAGTTATGCTCCGGAAACAATATTGCTAACGGACAAATTGCTAACGGACAGAAACTGTTTTCAGTATCAAAGAAAAAGTGACCTTGACCTTTGACCTTTTGACCCTAAAATCAATAGGGGTCTTCTACCCAATATGGACGATCATCCTATGAAGTTTGAACATTGTGGGTCAAATGAAACTTAAGTTATGCTCCGGAAACTGTTTTCAGTTTTAAGGTAATAGTGACCTTGACCTTTGACCTTTCGACCCCAAAATCAATAGGGGTCTTCTACCCAATATGGACAATCATCCTATGAAGTTTGAACACTGTGGGCCAAATGGAACTTAAGTAATGCTCCGGAAACAAAATTGCTAACAGACAAATTGCTAACAGACGGAAACTGTTTTCAGTATCAAAGAAATAGTGACTTTGACCTTTGACCTTTTGACCCCAAAATCAATAGGGGTCTTCTACCCAATATGGACAATCATCCCATGAAGTTTGAACATTGTGGGTCAAATTGAACTTAAGTTATGCTCCGGAAACTGTTTTCAGTTTAAAGGTAATAGTGACCTTGACCTTTGACCTTTTGACCCCAAAATCAATAGGGGTCTTCTATCCAATATGGACAATCATCCTATGAAGTTTGAACATTGTGGGCCAAATGGAACTTAAGTTATGCTCCGGAAACCAAATTGCTAACGGACAGAAACTGTTTTCAGTATCAAGGTAATAGTGACCTTGACCTTTGACCTTTTGACCCCAAAATCAATAGGGGTCTTCTACCCAATATGGACAACCATCCTATGAAGTTTGAACATTGGGGGCCAAATGGAACTTAAGTTATGCTCCGGAAACAAAATTGCTAACGGACAAATTGCTAACGGACGGACGGACGCCAGGGGGTATAACATAATATGCCCTTTCGGGCATATAAAAATGACATCGTCACATAAATAAACTTGCACCACACAGAAATCTGGTAACACTGCCATTACTTCACACAAAATATACATTTTCTATCTTAAATTAAAATCAGTTAAAACGTTACAACAATGTCAGAAATTTCTTATTTTTGCTTGACTTTGCATGAGTTTACAACTTGTTTATCAAGACCTGAAATTTTTACTAAAAATAGACAAAATACAGTTTTTATTCGGAGGCAAGAAATTCCGTAATATAGCAATATTCATTTTTGTTTGTATAAAATATAGATTATAATGAGAAAATGAATGAATATTTATACAAGAGGGCCATGATGGCCCTGAGGTCGCTCACCTGTATGTAGCCCCCCCCCACCCCCAGGCCAATTTTTACCCAAGGGCTTTTATTTGTTTATTTGAACAGACTTGGTAGACACCCATAAGAAGATGTTTCATGCTTAATATCTAAACTCTAGCTATTTGGGTTTTTTCAAAGAAGATTTTTAAGTTTTTGCTATACACATATAAGGAAAATCAATGACCCCCCGGGCGGGGCCAATTTTGACCCCAGGCCTTTTATTTGAACAAACTTGGTAGACACCCATTAGAAGATGTTTCATGCTAAATATCTTAGCTCTAGCTCTTTGGGTTCTTTAAAAGAAGATTTTTTAAGTTTTTACTATATGCATATAGGGAAAATCTATGACCCCCGGGGCGTGGTCAATTTTGACCCCAGGGCTTTTATTTGAACAAACTTGGTAGACATTCACTAGAAGAGACATTTCATGCCAAATATCTAAGCTCTAGCTCTTATGGTTCTTTAAAAGAAGATTTTTTAAGTTTTTACTATATGCATATAGGGAAAATCAATGACCCCCCTGGGCGGGGCCAATTTTGACCCCAGGGCTTTAATTTGAACAAACTTGGTAGACATCCATTAGAAGATGTTTCATGCTTAATATCTTAGCTCTAGCTCTTTGGGTTCTTTAAAAGAAGATTTTTTAAGTTTTTACTATATGCATATAGGGAAAATCAATGAGCCCCTGGGGCGGGGCAAATTTTGACCCCAGGGCTTTTATTTGAACAAACTTGGTAGACATTCACTAGAAGATGTTTCATGCCAAATATCTAAGCTCTAGCTCTTACGGTTCTTTAAAAAAATTTTTTTAAGTTTTTACTATATGCATATAGGGAAAATCAATGACCCCCTGGGGCGGGGCCAATTTTGACCCCAGGGCTTTTATTTGAACAAACTTAGTAGACATTCACTAGAAGATGTTTCATGCCAAATATCTAAGCTCTAGCTCTTACGGTTCTTTAAAAAAAAAAATTTAAGTTTTTACTATATGCATATAGGGAAAATCAATGACCCCCGGGGCGGGGCCAATTTTGACCCCAGGGCTTTTATTTGAACAAACTTGGTAGACACTCACTAGAAGATGTTTCATGCCAAATATCTTAGCTCTAGCTCTTTGGGTTCTTTCAAAGAAGATTTTTTAAGTTTTTACTATATGCATATAGGGAAAATCAATGACCCCCTGGGGCGGGGCCAATTTTGACCCCAGGGCTTTTATTTGAACAAACTTGGTAGACACTCACTAGAAGATGTTTCATGCCAAATATCTAAGCTCTAGCTCTTAGGGTTGTTTAAAAGAAGATATTTAAAGATTTTTCTTTCGGTTGCCATGGCAACCAGAGTTCTGCATGGAATTAAATTCTTTGAACAATTTTTAAAGGTGACCACCAAAGGAACATTCCTGTGAAGTTTGGATGAAATTGGCTCAGTGGTTTATGAGGAGATGTCATTTAAAGTAAAAGTTTACGGACGGACGACGGACGGACGCCGGACGAAAAGCGATCACAAAAGCTCACCCTGTCACTTTGTGACAGATGAGCTAAAAATAATATGACTTAATAGCCGGCAATAACTTACATTCATTTTGTTGAAATGGGCAGCTTAGATGTTGTAAGAAAATAAATATGTGACATTTGCTTATAAAACTAGGTTCATTAACCTTTTCCCTTATATAGGCATGTTTCAACGGCTTTTTGTCCCCCCCTCCTTTTTGAGGCTTCAAACAGTGAAAAAATGTCCTATTAGGCCCCAAACACTGTTTTTCGTTTGAGAAATGTTGTTTAAAAAAGTGACCACTTTTTCAGCGCGGCCCCCATCAAAATGATACATCAGTGGGTTGTCAGAATGTGGATGTGCCCCCTTCTGTTTGAGGGGTTTTAAAGTAGTCCCCCTCATCGCCAAGAAAATTTTGGACATGTGACAGACCAAAAATGGCCTCAGGTCGATCTTAAGGTGACGTGTAACCAACGCTGAAAAGCCTTTTACTCTATCTCATTGCATTGAGAAGTTGCAGCACTTTGAAAACAGTTTAAATGGAAAACAAGAGCCACCGCCAGGCGGGGGCAATGCTCGACTTTTTACTTTTTCTAAAAGCAAACATTACAAAGAAATGTTTGAACAAATCTTAACGTTTCCTTTTCATAAATGTGATAAATAGAATATTAAAGTTATGTAAGACAAGTTTATTACTGAATTTCTTGAACTATTTGAATAAAATAATATTACAGAGACTCGCTTTATATAATTTTATTCAACTTGTGCAATAAATTCAGTACTGAACTTACACTCATTCAATATAATTATATATATATATCTTCTATTTATTTTACCCCATATTTAACAGTTAAACTGATAATTTCATGTTCGGTTGTTCCCATAAGTGAAGGTCGTCTGCTGAAGCCACAAAGGGCCATCAATTTACATACCACAGTACCATGGTGCTCTCCTTTTCAAAACATGGCTGACTGACCATAGATGTTTCTAATTTAAATCATTGAGTAACAGTTATTCTATGAATGACATGTGTATTTTAAAGTCAAGATGTGACATTTAAACACAATTCAATAAAATTGTAAAAACAAATTCTTTTTATTTGTACAATTTGCTGGAAAGAATAAGAACAGTGGTATCATTGGGGACCATCCTATGTCAAAGTGATGTCAGTTTTATTTTTAGAATACTGCAGTATATACGACAATATAATATGTACTACAACCGAGATGAAAAAAAAATCCAAATTCATTCTAACCATTTATTCATTATATGTCAAAAGTATATTTCAATTATTTGATTAAGACTTCTCATGAAAATGTATAAATTCGGTTTCAGATCATTTATACTTTTAGTGAATACAGTACATCTTGGACTATTACCCGAACTTAATCTGTTTATTTCTTTAATTCACAATCATACCCCTTCACAATTAAAGACATCCCTTAAAAGGGATATTTACACGTAGTAATTTAAATAGAAATGACAGTGAACGTGAATCAACCTGTGTAGATCTACTTTTTTAAAAGAGAAAGTAGCTCCTCGCAAACGTAGTGCTTCTGATTGACTCTGATTTTATCATCTGTACAAATTAGCGGAAAGGAAACTGCTTTAAAAAATGACGCAAAGGATAACAAAAAAAAAAACCGGGGAAAGGGATGATCCCTCAACAACTTTATAAAACGTAAGATTTGAATTGCACACGAAGTAAGTTAATTATTTTGTCCCGATTGAAGATTGAATGATAGTATACTGTAGATGTATACTCTACTGTAGTAATGTATTCCTATGTTAGCAAGGGTTCTATGATGCACATATGATATTTGTTTGCTTTGCATATAAGACCGAAATGTATTTTACCACAGACTGCCAGAGCTAAGCCTAGATCAGGTTTAAAATAAACAAGTTCTTTTTTTAGAATATTAATGGTTATTTCTCTTAAAGGCCAGACCAAACCTGTTGTGGTGTTAATTGTTCATGTTTGTCTATTGTCATTTTCTTATAGGTGATTAAATTGGTTTTGCAAGATGTGTAATTGATTTTAGTATGAAGTTATTTTTAGCTGATATGGTTCTGGGGTAGCTTTAATATTTCTTAGTAACTGATCGCTCCCTCTCATTGCATTCAAAGCAATTATATCTATTATCTATTTCGTTAATTAATTATTTCTTATTAAAAATACTTATAGATTTAATAATTTTCTAATTTAAGGTATGAGCCCCCTAATGGGCACTTTAAGGAACTATAAAATTGACAACATAGATCTGTTATATACCTTAAAGTACACCTGTATGCAAAATTAAAAGAAAGTTTACCGTATGGTTTACGAGGTATGGTGATTCTTCTTACTTAAAACGTGGCTACTAAATGGGCTCTTTTTCAGAAAAGAGAAACTCTTAATAATCTATCATATAATCAATATGGAAAAAAAATTTTCATTTGATCATTGTTAAGAAACAAATAATAGCATTCAAGTAACAAATGACACAAGAAAACTTAATGTTTCTACCCAAAATGTTTGAAATATGTATACAAATGGTACCCTATCCCACCCATTTTAAATCCTTAATTGATTGACAATTTTCCTACTCGGAGGGCCTTATTCAAAATAGCCCAGAAATTTACCAAAATGAGGGACTGTTTTCAAAGTTTGCCTAAATTTTCTTAAAAGTATACTGGTTGATCATTTTAAATTTAAAATACTTTTACCTTTTAGTTTTTGTTTTATTAGACTTTGAAAATATCAGGTATCATATCTGATGATAAATTTGGTATAATTTAGCCATTAAATGTCAAAAATAATGTTATGCTTAAATGAAACACTTTTTTCTTACCAAGAGTGATCCAAGAGACACAAAAAATATTGAAAGAAAGAAATAGAAAGAAAAAAAGTTGCCTCTTTTGGGGTTTGAACCCGCGCCCCTCAGCTTCAATGCAGTTGACAGTAGTTCTAGTCTATTTGAATACTACTCAAAGTGGAGGTAATGCATTAGGTGGGTCATACCTTAAACAGGTGGTCGAACGTATAGAGATTCGGTACGTTTTTTAAGCCAGGTAAATGTAGGATACGGAGAAATGGTGGAATTTTTAATCTAAACACGTCATATTTTATAAAAAATGTTAGTGTCATTTATTTCTAATATTGCAAATTTGTATCATAAGGCTCTGGCCTAGACATACTTCTTCGAAATTATAGAAGTTTGGGTTCAATAGTGAAAAAGTTGTTGAAAGTAAATTGGCAGTTACTTTTGTGTCGGTGAAAAAAGTCAAACAGCAAAGCACATATCGTGAATGTTAGTTGCTAATTCTACAAATAACTTATGTACAGAGATACTTATTATTAAGTTGTCAGGCAAATATTTTAGCAAAGATATACATGTATATTGACGTCTGTTCGTGAATGATGGGTTTCGGTACGATACGATAACTGTATGCTTCAAAAGGTTCGATAATTTTGACTGTGTTAATAACTACTTAAACTATATACCATAAATAATCTTTTGTTATTCACGTAGGAACTGGCTTAAAATCTGTTGGTATTTTAACTGTTTCCTTTTTTGTTGCAGACGGTATTTATCTTGCTCATACTTGTAAATACTCACATAATCACACAATGTCAAACAAAAAACATCAGGACCATCAAAATAATTTCAATTGGTCCAAACATGGTAACATCACCACATCCAAAACAACCAACTCATATTGTTTTATTCAAAGAAACATTAAAACAAGTAACATCTAGTAGTTCTTTTATTTCCAAAAGACACAAATGCTTTTGCTATATAACTATGTTAGGAAACCGAACATATGAATAAAGATGTAATGCTAGGACAGCATATTTGGTATTTCATAAACGCACATTGCAATAAAAGGCCTTTGAAAGTAAGAGGACGATGTCGGTTGATAAAACCATTCTTTAATATTCACAAGGCATTAATTTTAAAGTGACATGGCAAATATTTCTCAGTTTCGCTGTGCTGGAGCAGAAACCTGGAAAATAAAAGTTCAATAGGTTTTTACATAAGTGCATGGCTTGATTAAAGCCGTGCTAAGAAACAATACATTTTATTGTAAAAGCAAAGAATTTATTATCATAGGATAACAAGAACTCCCAATGCTAAACACTTTTGCCATTGGGCATGCGTTCTTTAGAGATTCCGTTTCTCTTATTAATTACATAGAGACGGGTTTATCAAAGCGTTTGTGACAAAACAAGTCGATCTCTAATATACTATAAAATGTGAAATATATATATTTTCTGTTATATTTAGATATCTTTTGTCCTGTTTAAGATTGTTTACACATATACAGTATATGGTTCGTGAGACAACAAGTTTGAACTAGGATGTTTTTTTCACCAGTTCTTCAAACAATGAGTTGAATTACGCAAAAATATGCTGATTTCGAAAAAAACTATAATTGAAAATGTTCATTTAGCATAGAGTCTTCTGGTTAGAATTATAGCATACACTATGTGTACAATATATAATAATTTACAAAATTAATCAATTGGCGAATGCTTTAATTAACTTACAGAATATAATATAGCTCTGTGATACAGTGGCATATCTAAAAATATGCATGTAAAATCACTGTACGTGTGTTGTAGGACATATCCAGTGGACCACTCTGTGCATTTGCAGAAAATATAACACAGTTTTTATTACATGTACTGTATATATGTGGGTTCTTTGTTAAATTTATATTCATCCGCCATTTCAGCCAGAGTGAGAGTACGAACTCCGGACATGTCACTTATCATGTCCTTAAATAGTATTTAATTGCCAAATGGCGACCTATTAAATTTGAATCCATTAATTCTCTGGATGTGACTAAAAAAAAAATTTTCTTCTTTTGTGTTTGGTATGACTAAGTGATGCAAGGGTTATTGCATGTGTCTTTTCGTTCCTTTATAGGATGTCGACAATCGGAACATCTCGGCTATTATCAATAATGATACACATTCAAGCATTTGAGTAACCTTGATAATATCATTCAACAACCAAAAATAAAGTGTAAGCGACTGTGAATCATTATTCTTAGGTACTAGATCTAATGTGTTTATTTACCTCATGTTTTTTTGAGTTGGTGGTCAAAATGTTTTTTGACTGCAAATGTTTTTTTTGTCCGTCTGTCCGTCCACATTATACTGGTTGGGGACGATTTCGAGACATTTCGGCCCCAAGACGTATCGGCCCCAAATTACCCAAGACGTTTCGGCCCCAGACGTTTCGGCCCTTTACCAAATCGGCCCCAGAATAAGTACTGTGTTTTAAACCGGTATATTAAAATTTCATAGTTATAATAATCATAAGTGGCAATTTTCATGAAGTGGAACGCCAATTTCCAAGTACCTTGAAAGATTTACGATACGTCTTATAGATCTCTATATTTTACGTAAAAGATTAAATCTTTACCAAAACCATCAACGATTAGATACTTGTTGCATTTAATGTTAACTTCAATGTTTATGTATATCTCATAATAAATAGCTACTCGTAATTATTTCCTTGATATTGAAAAATCTAACACATTTAATTATCAGGTATGAAAAGTTAGTTGTTCATGCACGTGAAAATCGAAATATCCGGTCATGTAATTTTACAATGAAAAGAAAACAGAAGCCATAATATCTATAATTCTTTTGTCACTGTCAACATTGTTTGATTAAACTAATTAATAAATATATAGCAGGTACATTTATGATTTGGTTTCAGTCTTTCAATCACTTTTATAACTTCTAGCATCTATCATTATCTAATAACAATAATAATTAAAAATATTATCAGGAGATTATAGCAAACCATTTTTTTTTTTAATCTTTTGAAGTTTTCTCTGATATTACTTACATAAAGCTATAAACAGTTACATGTAATTAGTTACACCTTGAAAAAAATACGTAGGTCTATAGTTTAATTAAGATAAAAAATAATGTTTTCTAAGGAATAATTGTAATTAACTTTCTTAATCAAGAAGTTTTAGTGGTTTGTTTTATAAATTAAGGATTAACCTGCCTTTATTGTTTGTTACACCTTTAAAAACATTAACGTATATCTAAATGGTTCAAGAGATCAAAAGATAATAAATAATTATTTAAAGAATTAAAGGGTCATAATTGTTTCAATTAAATCAATTGTTGTTAATTAATTTAATTAATTGTCTGTACTATATAGTAGGGCCGAAACGTCTCGCGGAAAAGGGCCGAAACGTCCAGGGGCCGATTTTTCTACTGGGGCAGATTTGGTTTGGGGCCGAAACGTCCTGTTTGCGTTGGGGACCACCAAAACCGGACAACCACCAAACCCGGACGGCCCCGAAAATGCTTGATTTAGAATTTTCTTTGTTCAGTGGTTGTCAGTCACTTTTTTATCAATAATAAATGCATGTTTCTTCTAAAATTAAGTAAATAAATTTATTTCAACCTCCGTAGACTCACCAGACCTATGCTCGCCCAGACGCATGCTCGCCCAGATTTTTATCTTTATGATATAAACTTATGAATAAAATATTATCTGAA